CAAGGGAGAAGGCTGGGCCTAGAACTCTTGACCACATGACTCTTGACTGCTCAAGTCAAGCTTGCACTGTTTGTCACTGGCCTCTAACTGAAACAAAAAGAAGATTCCTCCTGGAATCAGCATCAGGAACAGCGAGAGGCCTCTTGGCCCTCCCAGATACGCCTCCTCTCCCAGCCACCGGCTCTCTTATGTGCAGCCAGTGTTCTTGAAAAGTCCTTGTGAAGCCTCTGGATAGATTTAAACTCCCAAGCTTTAGTTCATTGCAATATGGAAAGGAATAAGGGATTTAGAGAAGAGAGATGTGACTTGAACTCTCAGAGCTCTCAGATCACCCACAGTGTGACTTGAGGCCTGGACTAGAAGCTTCCTGAAGCTATGTTATTGTTACAGCTTCAGAAATAAATAAACAGAGCCCAAATTCCACGCTTTCATAAGGACTAAATGAGATCAAGAGCTAGGGAGCTCTGGTGGCCTAATGGTAAGAAGTTGCACTGCAATCCTAAAGGCTCGTGGTTTGAATCCACCAGCTGCTCCACAGAAGACTCCTCCCGTGTCGTTAACTGTTTCTGAAAGCCTGCTGGAGAGTCAGCTAGGGTTGGTTCCGACCTGGTAGGACACAATAACAACAACAAATGAGCTAAGGCATCTGAAGTTTCCAGGCTGTTTTAGGATAGTCTAGATATCATTATTACTTTTATGGATTTCATTAGTAAAAGCACATGGAGAAGTAAGGGTTGAGGGTCAATAGGAAAAAAGCTGGGAAAGGAGTGAGTGGAACTTGTAAAAACCAGGGGTGAACGTGTGAAGGAAGAGGTAGGAGGAGAGGTTAATGTGAAAAGAAAGTGTTGTTTCGAGAGACACCTTTCTTGTTGTTAGTGGTGGTGTTGTTAGGTGCCATCAAGTCGACAAGGAGTCATGGCCACCTGTGAAGAACAGATCTGGGCTTCCCTCTATCCTGTGCCATCCTCATCATCTCTGGAATGCTTAAGTCCATTGTTTTGTTATTTGTTTTAGTTTTTATTTTATATTGATTTGCTTACAAAGTTTGTATCCATTCACATTGTGTTTAGTACAATCATTCACATTCACTATGGATTGTTTTTTCTTTCCCCCCGTTTTTCTTAATTTCTTCTTTTTTTATTTTTATTTTTTTTTAAATTTTATTATTTTTATGTGCGTGTACCATCAAATCAGATCTGACTGGTACAGGAGGAGATTGTCCCTCCTTCCTCGGCAGAGCATCTGGTGGATTTGAACCGTGAGCCTCTGGGATTGCAGTGCAGCTTCTTGCCACTAGGCCACCAGAGCTCCCCTTATTTTTATTTTTTTTTATAATTTTAATGAACATTTACAGAGAATTTGGATTTCCATTCATTCATTGCTGCACTTCTCTCCCCGCCCAGCCCTCTCCCCCGCCCCCAATTTTTTCTTTTTTAAAATTAATTTTAATCAAAGTTTACAGAGACTTAGAGTTTCCAGCTATTCATCGTTGCACTTCTTAATTAATTTTAAAGAAAGTTTACAGAGCCTTTGGATTTCCATTCATTCACTGTTGCACTTTTCTCCCTGCCCACCTCTCCCCTCCCCCCAATTCCCTTTTCTTTTTGAAAAGTAAACAAAAAATTCTTTCATTGTTAAATAATCTCTCCCACCAAGTCTCCTCCATTATGCTGCCTTCCTTCTGGATTCCTGTCATGACAATAATACCTAATCATATATCCCTTTGAAACCGTTCTCTCCCGCGTCTGTCTGCGTAAGTCCATTGTTACAGCCGTGTGTCCATCCATCTTGTTAGCATTTATCCCCTCGTTCTCTGACCCTCCTCTTTCTCCAGCATGTTGTCTTTTCTGAAAGGACGGGCCCCGCCTGATAAAAAGCTGCACCCTCGTTGCCTCCAGATGGCACCCTCTCTTCCTTGCCTGTAAGATAGATGAGCTCTTTTGGCAATCCATGGCACACTTGCTATCCAGCACCAATGAGTGGAACAGATTCACAGCTGACCCTCCAGCAGGTTTTCAGAGGCTGTAAATCACATGGAAAGAGACTGTGCATCTTTCTCCTGCAGAGCAGCTGCTGGATTTGAACCGAGTACCTGTGGGTTCTCACCACTGGACCAATCGGTAACATCAGGATGGATGGTGAAGAGATTGAGATCGTTCACAGCTTCAGTTTGCTCGGCTCCATGGTCAACACTCTTGGCACCAGTAGCAAGGAAATAAAAAAATGTATTGCGATGGGAAAGTCTGCTGTTAGGGACCTCTCCAAATTACTCAAGAGCAACAGTGTCTCTCTGGAGACTAAGGTGTGCCTGATACAGGCCATGGTCTTTGCAATCACTTGTTATGTGTCAGAGAGTTGGACAGTGACTAGGGAGGATAGAAGGAGAATTGACGTCTTTGAGCTGTGGTGCTGGAGAAGAGTATTGAATGTACCATGGACTGCCAAGAAAACAAACAGATTCATTGTAGAGAGGATTAAACCAGGCTGCTTCTTGGAGGCAAGGATTCTGGGGCTTCGTCTGACATACTTTGGACATGTTGCAAGGAGAGACAGGTCTTTAAAGAGGGACATCATGCTGGGTAGAGTAGAGGGACAGCGCAGGAGGGCAAGACCCTCTATGAGGTGGATTGATTCAGTGACTGGGGTAATCGGGATGGGTGTGTCAGAGGCTATGAGATTGGCACAAGATAGAGCACGGTTTAGGGCTGTTGTACATAGGGTCGCTATGAGTCGCAGACGACTCGACGGCACATAACAACAAACAACAACAACAACCTGTGGGTGAGCAGTACAACTCCTTACCATTAGGCCACCAGAGCTCCTTTGGACACTGGTCACATTACAGAAGAAAAAAAAGCCCTAGCTTGATATTCAGAAACTAGTATTTAAATCTATTTTGGGAACACACTAAGGTTTTGGCAGATATTGAGAGGAATTTGTATTTAAAAAAAAATAGAAAGCAAATAAATGCCTAGGAGAAATGTTTAAAGTGGAGGCTGCATTCAAAGAAGACAGTACAATTCTCAGAGGGGATAGTGCTACAAAGAAAATAATAGTGCTAAGGAACAAATTACATATCAGTCTGAGGGATGTGGTTTTAAGTGCTGGACTTTCCCTTCCATGAATAGGGTATATATTTCCTTTTTAATTTGTAGTTGTGATTTGAGTGAAGGCTTACAAACAATTTAATTTTTCATTGAACCATTCAGACACATTTTGTTTTGTAACATTAATTTCAATTCCTACAAGGTACTGAAGGCACTTCCCCCATTTCCTCCTTATAATTCAGATTCCCACTAATTGTTCTAACGGTCTTTCTTTTATTTGTTTATTAGTGTTGCACTGATGGTTCCCTTATTCGATATTTCCTTTCCTTTCCACCCATACTAATGTGTGCCTCTTATAAATTTATTCATTTTTATTCCCTTCTCCTCCCTAGAAACCATCCAAGAATGAGTCTTTCCTTAGTTTTTTTTATAAGTGATTATATAGTTATTTCCTTTTAATTGTATATTCTATGTTCTTCAAAAAGTTTCATAGTTGATTTTTTTCTATTACAGAGTTTCAGTTTTTGTCAAGTTTATTTTTCCAGTTTTAGTCCTTTTTGTAGACGATGTGACATGGATAAATGGATGTTTGGTTTTTTTAATTTTGTGTGTGTACCGTCAAATCGGCTCTGATTGGTACAGGAGGAGATTGCCCCTCCTTCTCCAGCAGAGCATCAAGTGGATTCAAAACGCATGCCTCTGGGATTGCAGTGCAGTTCCTTGCCACTGGGCCACCAGAGCTCGTGTGTGTGTGTGTGTGTGTGTGTGTGTGTGTGTATGTATTTTTAAATGAGCTTATTGCTTGTGCTTAGAAAGCAATTAGAAGAAGAGGGAAAGAAACTTGAATATTACATTAACATATTTTTAGAACAGCATGCTGGAAGAAGAAAAAGAAGAAACAGTATCATTGATGCAATGTGGCATTAAAGTAGAATGGCACAACAGATATGAGTGATTGCATAAAAGTGCATAATAGTATAAATAAAATGTAATATTTTTTAAGCAAAGATAACACAAAACAGTATTCTATACTTAATTAGTCCATGTCACATTGTTTCTAAAATATACTAAAACACAACAACGAATGAATGGAAATCCTCAGTCTCTGTAAACTTTCATTAAAATTAATAATGATAAAAAAGTGAAAAAATTAGTAAAACTGGCAAGAATAAACTTGACAAAAACGGACACTGTGTAATAGAAAAGCTCAACTATGAAACTTTGTTGAAGAACATAGAATATACATTTAAAAGGAAATAAATATATTTACATAATCAGTTATAAAAATAAATGCATAAATACATATTAAGATTGAAAAATATATGTTGTTGTTGTTGTTGTTGTTATGTGCCGTCGAGTCGCTTGCAACTCATAGTGACCCTGTCTACAACAGCTCTAAACTCTGCTTTGTCCTGTGCCAATCTCATTGCCTCCGACACACTCATCCCGATTGCCCCAGTCACTGAATCAATCCATCTCCCAGAGGCCTTCCCCTCCTGCGCTGCCCCTCTACCCTCCCAAGCATGATGTCCCTCTCCAAGGACCGGTCTCTCCTTACAACATATCCAAAGTATGTCAGACGAAGCCTATATATTTAGAGAGAGAGAGAGAGGTATTAAAATAATATTTAAGAGAATTATATTAGCAGTTAGCTCTTGGAATGGTGAGGGTAATTCATGTAGTTCGAGATAATTCAGCTTCATCTTTGTTACATAAGAAAGACAGACCAAAAAATACAAGCTTTGTTTTTTAGGAGCAAACTATGCTTTTAAGAAGATGAGAGAACCCAAAGCAAGTCTGACTTACAGATAGTTCTGGATGGTAGAACTGTAGGTCCTTAAGTTCCCTCTGAGAGTGTTAACTCATCAACTCCACCCCCAAATTTGTCTAATGAAGTCTTCTTAAGGGATGAGTCTCTCACAAGTGCCTCTGTGTCCAGGTGCTCCTGTCTTCATGGATTTTACACTGGAGCCCAACGTGACAGCACTAACGGACTACTACTATCCTGACCTTATCTCAAGCCCCTGTGAAGGAGAACTTATCCAGAGAGATAGCAACCTTCTCCTTGCCGTCTTTTACTGCCTTCTGTTCGTATCCAGCTTTCTGGGAAACAGCCTGGTCATCCTCGTCCTCATCACCTGCAAGAAGCTGAGGAGCATCACAGATGTGTACCTCTTGAACTTGGCCCTGTCTGACTTGCTCTTCGTCTTCTCCTTCCCCTTCCTGACCCACTATCGCCTGGACCAGTGGATCTTTGGGAGCGTCATGTGCAAGGTGGTCTCCGGGTTCTATTACATCGGCTTCTTCAGCAGTATGTTCTTCATCACGCTCATGAGCGTGGACAGGTACCTGGCCATTGTCCACGCCGTGTATGCCATGAACGTGAGGACGGCCACTGTGGGCACTGTCCTGAGCTTTGCAGTGTGGCTGACGGCCGTCGTCGCCACCAGCCCGCTGCTGGTGTTTTACCAGGTGACCTCGGAAGACGGCTTTCTGCAGTGCTACCTGTCTTACAATCAGCAGACGCTGAAATGGAAGATCTTCACCTACTTTGAGATTAACATCTTAGGTCTGTTGATTCCCTTCACCATCCTCATCTTCTGCTACGTGAGCATCCTGCACCAGCTGAGGAGGTGCCAAAACCAGAACAAGACCAAGGCCATCAGGCTGGTCCTCATCGTGGTCATCGCGTCTCTGCTCTTCTGGGTCCCGTTCAACGTGGTCCTCTTCCTCACCACCCTCCACAACATGCACGTCTTGGATGGGTGTGTGATGAACCAGCGGCTGATTTACGCCACTCACGTCACAGAAACCATCTCGTTCATTCACTGCTGCGTCAACCCCATTATCTATGCTTTCCTGGGCGAGAAGTTTAAGAACTACCTCTCAGAAGTGTTTCAGAAAATCTGGAGCCCCTTCCTTGTCTGTGTGGGGAGACAAGTCTTCAAAGAGGGCTTGGATAGGTCATCATCTTGCCATCAGCAGTCGTCTCGTTCATCCAGCGTGGACTACATTCTCTGAAGAGGGAGCTTTGACACCAGCGTCTTATCGCCACCCCATCTTTCGAGAGACAGACGTTACTCATGTTGGATTCTGAGGTTACCGGATGAGAAAGTTTCAGGACTTTGCTTAAAGACACGAGACCTTTTATGGTAACCTCATTGTCTTCAATGATTCCTACACAATCAAATGAAATTTCATTACAGTTTTCTGGAAATAGTCTCTTTGTGTTGTTTTTTACTTTGTATAGATTGTTTTTATTATTAACTTTTTTGAACAAAGAAAAGATATTTTTTATTAAAAAAGATGTGTGTCATAGGGTATTATTAACATTTTTGTCATTAACATACAAAGTGTTTCATGAATGTACATTGTATACCATACAGTCTTTTAATTACATTATATTTTGTTCATTTATATTGTGGATTTTTTTTTCTCTCCCTGACAATCAATGCCAACCACCACCAACTTTAATGACTGGTGTAAGCCAGCTACTTCGTGCCTTACATCCTACTATCCCCCTTTGAGTTGGCCAATTGCTGATTTGCCCGTCTCTATCAAACCAGTGCTCTGAAGAAACAGGCTCGTCCCTTTCTCACTCTGTGTGTGTGTGTGTGTGTGTGTAAGCGTGCGTGCGCGCCCACTCTCGTATGTGTGCTGGGGCTTAATAAGAAAGGAATAGTGGCACACTATAATCTTAAACTTATAATAGGGAGCCCTGGCGACCTAGTGGTAAGGAGCTGCACTGCCAACCCGAAGGCGTGGTGTCCAAATACAGCAGCTGTTCCACAGAGAGAGAGAGATTGGCAATCTCATTTTATGAGATTTACTGCCTCTGAAAACTCCTTGGAAGGTCAGCCATGAGTCGGTTCTAGCTGGATGCTACACAATAACAACCACAAGCTAAAGAAAATCAGACAATACTTTCCAAAAGGTAATAATAACAGTAATGAAAAGAAGTAGCACTCTGCCTGAGTACCTCTCTAATAGAAATACTATAAGTGGCTGGAGCAAAGAATAGAAATTTATTTGAGGCTCTTCGTACAAATTGAGGGTGTGCTGGACTCTGTTCTATATGTCCGATCAGGCAGGGTTTTGTCCTGTTGTGTATGAGGTCACTACAAGTCCAAGATTATATCCCAACAGCAAAAGCTGAAGAGAGCATGGCCAGGCCACTGCTGTCCTGTTCTGGCTGCTTGTAAGATACTTTACCTCTTTCTTGTTCCAAATAGAAAGGAAAGGAGGGATCAAAATTAAAAAGGTGTGTCTGATCCAGGCCATGGTATTCACAATTAACATGCTATGCATTAGATGCTGGGTAATGACTAGGGATGACAGAAGGAAGATGGATGTGTTTGTGCTGTGGTACTGAAGAAGGGCGTTGAATATATCATGGACTTCTGGGAGAACAAACAGATTCATGCTAGAGAGGGTGAGACCAGGCTTCTTTTTGGAGGCAAGGATTCTGAGGCTTTGTCTGACATACTTTGGACATGTTAAAAGGAAGGACCAGTCCTTGGAGAGGGACGTCATGCTTGGGAGGGTGGAGGGACAGCCCCTGGATGAGATGGATTGACTCAGTGACTGGGGTAATGGAAGTAGGTGTGTCAGAGACAATGAGTTTGACTCAGGACAGGGCAGGGTTCAGAGCTGTAGTACATAGGGTCACTGTGAATCGCAAGCAACTTGATGGCACAAAACAACAACCTCTTGTTTTTTCCAAATTGAAGGGAAGGAGGGATCACAATTCTGAGGTATGTTCTAACACCTAAATCCCATGATTCAACAAATGCTAACAATGCTTTTGAACTATGGTGTTGGCAGAGTATTGAATAGGGCACGGACAGCCAAAAGAACAAACTGTCTGTCTTGGAGGGGGCTCACTGAGAGGCAAGGATGGTGAAACTTCATCCCGTATGCTTTGGGCACATTGCCAGGAAGAGCCTGTCCTTGGAAAGAGATGTCGTGCCAGGAAAGATGAAGGGTCAGGAGAAAAGGGCAAGATTCTCAACAAGATGGACTGACCCAGTGCCTCTAGCAATGGACGTGAGCACAGTGGAGGCTGCAAAGATGGCACAGGAAAAGGCGAGATTGCGATCTGTTGTTCTTCTGGGCATTGTAAGGAGTAATCAACTGAATGGTGCCTAACATCATCAACAACATAAATGCTACTGCATTTAGATTTAAAGAATCCGAAGGAGCACGAGATCAGTGGGTTGGGGGCCCTTGTGGTGTTGCCCACAGAGAGCTGCACTCCTAGTCTAAATGTCATGCCGCTCTGGTGTCTGAATCCACTCGTCGTTCTGTGAGAGAAAGACGTTCAATCTTGTATGTGGCCCACAGCATCTGAAAACTCACTGGAGGGTCAGCTTCAAGGCAGTCCTGACTCGACAACAATCACTTTGACTTTGCTGTAACAGAAAAACCACAAGCGAGTGGCTTTCCCCCCCCCCTTCATTAACTTTAATGGAAGTTTAGAGAGACTTAGGGTTTCCAGTCATTCATTGTTGCATTTTTCTTCCTGCCCACCCCCTCCCCCTCTATTCACTCTTCTCCTTGAAAAGTAAAAGAAAACCTCTTTCACTGTTATGCAATCCCTCCCCCTAAGTCCACTCCACTATGCAGCCTTCATTTTGGACCATAATACCCAATTACATATCGCTTTTAAACAGTTCTTTCCCTTATCTGTTGCAATGCAGTATACATCATTCCTCCCCTCTTTCTCTGCCTTCCCTCAACCCCGATGTCAGTCCCATTTTACAGTAGTGGTACTATGCAATATTTGTCCTTTTGTGACTGAGATATTTCACTCAGCATAATGTCCTCCAGTCATCCATTTTCATAATATTCCATGAGTTCCTTGTTTTTCAATGTTGCCTAGTATTCCATTGTGTGAATATACCACAGCTTCTCTATCCATTCGTTTGTTGATGGGCACTTGGGTTGTTTCCAGCTCTTTGCTTTTGTGAACAAAGCCACAATAAACATGGGTGTGCATGTGAGTGGCTTTTACAAACAGAAATTTACTTTCTCACACTTTAGGATGTTGGAGGTCTGAGGTCAGGGTGCCAGATTCAGGGAGAAGCACTTCCTATGTCAGTTCTGGAGGAAGGAAGGACCTGGCCTCCTCCTGGATGATCTTCCTGCTGTTTGGCATCACTCCTTCCTCAGCAGCAGCCTTATTAGGACTGAGCAAAAGTCGAAGCGGAAGACATCAAAACAACCATCTTTAACATTTTCTGGCAGTGTTTCAGCAAAAATACATTCTTTTAAATTTCGAACATTCCATTGTTAGTTGTAACAAGAAGATATTTTTTTTTCCATAAGTCGGGCTCACATGTATCAGTATACTTAAAAGACTAAGATTCTCGACTAATTTACTTTATGATCCTTCTCATGTGCTCCAGTCACAATTCTCATTACTACCTAATTGCAATTCTGCTTTAAATCACGTGGTATCATTTGCACACCTTACAAGCTTGTGCTATTTTCCTTCCTACTGGAGTTTTTATAATCATTGATTTTGCCAAATTTTCTGGTATTTTAATGAAAATACTGTGATAATTAGTATTTGGGAAACTATATCAACAGTCTTGTGAAAATGAAGTAATAAATGAAAAGGAGAAAAATTTTAAGAGTCTTCTGTTCAGTTACTAATAATGTTCCGTTTTGCAAAACAAGTTTGGTTTCTGTGTTCACACAAACCAAGAAATATTACATTTAGGAGGTATGTGGATCACAAATTATTCTATTGTTGATGTTGATAATAAACATTGCCAGTGATTCTGTATGGTCTGGTGTGGGAGGAGGTTCATGAGGGGAGGTTACATTCCTAGGTGACCTCAATCCTAATGGTCCCTGTTAGGGCTCTGGAGCTGTTCCCCCTCCCTTTCCCAGAACAGCCACAGAAATGATCAAAGTAACAACTGCAACTCTGTCTCTGTCAGAGCTGCAGAACTATTCCATCTCCCTTTCCCAAAAGTAACTATCCATGACCCCATCCCCTTACATTGTAGCAAGCAGCTGCTATAATCTCGCTCCCCAGTTTCCTTGTAAGATAATGTAAAACTCCACTCTAAGTAGCTGCTGGTCTTTACTTCAGAATCAGCCAGGCAGTTTCTCAATAAACTGTCTTTCTTGATCTGAACTTGGTTTAGTCCTTTCTCAGTAACCTTACTGGTATCATTGTGGACTTCTGCCTACCTGCCTCTCTGTCTCACTCTCTAATTTGTTTTCTATTACAAAACAATGATCTTAATCATAGCAATGACTGAGAGAATGGTGCAGCACTGGGCATTAGGAACCAATCTGATGGCATTTAAAGAAAGGTCTGGTGGATTAGGGGTAAGGAATTGCACTGCCAACACAAAGCTACGTAGTTCAAATCCACAAAGTTTGACTTGATACATAACAACAACAAACAGACTTCTGGGAGCCTCAAAAATGGGATGAAACTGCCCTGAGGTAATCTTTAAACCTTAAATCCAAAGTACAACCTGAGGTGTTCTGAAAACCAAACATTAGTTTAGCTGAATGAGCAAGAAAGCAAAAAGTATGCCTGAACTCTTTTAAGAACAATCTATACAGAATGAAGTTTATAGTCCTTGGTTTTAGCCCGAAGTCCATGATCCACCTTGAGTTGGTTTTTGTATATGGAGTGAGGTGTGGATCTTGTTTTAGTCTTCTGCATACAGCTTTCCGATTTTGCCAGCACCATTTATTTAAAAGGCTGTCATTTCCCCACTTAACTGATTTCATCTCCTTGTCAAAAATCAGTTGACCATAGGTAGATGAGCTGATTTTTGGATTCTCAATTCTATTCCATTGATCTATGTGTCTGTCATTGTACCAGTACCATGTTGTCTTAACCACCACGGCAGTGTAGTAGGATTTGAAATCAGGGAGAGAGATGCTTCCTACATTTTTTCTATTTTTAAGGAGTGCTTTGCTTATTCGGGTCTTCTTTCCATTCCAAATGAAACTAGAAATTGCCTTTTCCATCTCCTTGAAGAATGGGATTG